TGATCATTTAACTCTTCTCTCATGGACAAAAAAAAAAAAAAGAAGCTTCTTACATGCCTTTAAAAAGTTCTATGTAAGTGATGAATAACTAAATTCTACTCCTGAAACCAATACTACACTATATGTTAACTAACTTGAATTAAAAGGAAAAAAAGTTGGGGCGCCTGGCTGGCTCAGTTGGTTAAGGGTCCGACATCAACTCAGGTCATGATCTCGCTGCTCGTGGGTTCAAGTCCTGCATTAGGCTCTGTGCTGACAGCTCAGAGCCTGGAGCCTGCTTCGGATTCTGAGTCTCCCTCTCTTTGCCCCTCTCCTGCTCTCATGCTCTATCTCTCTCACTCTCAAAAATAAATAAGCATTGAAAAAAATTTAAAGTAGGTTTAGAACAAGATGAAAAGCTAATGAAAAAGTAGGAAAACATCAAATACTAACTAGCTTACACACTTTCACTATTCAACACAACTTCACATTTTAAAATATCACACCCTTCAACATGACCCAATAACCTTTATGTCCAGCAGTCAGGAGAGGCACATGGGGTGGGGCACAAGGCTTCTGCACAGTAGGAGCAAAATGCCACCACTCACTCACCTGCTCCCCCATCTGCCCACAGATGTTCCTGGATTCTGCACAGTAGCCCCTCCTTCCAACTACCACGTCCAGGAAGTTTACTTTTCATTTGGTTTCTCTTCTCTCGCACGTCCCATCACAAATGGAGTCACATTTATACTACACTCTGGACCTTCTATGAGGAAGTTCTCCCAGTGGACACTTCCATCCCCTAAACATGAGCCCACTGTGGCCCAGGCAGAGCCCCTATTTAGGAAACCAACAGGAATGCTTTGCAGAAAGAGAGGAAGGCTCCATCCCCATCCCATGTGGAGGTTCATAAAGCCCACCGTAGAGAGGGGATGAAAGGGTTTTCAGAGATTTTGTAGAGAATAACTTGTTTTGTTTTGTTTTTTTTTAATATTTTTATTTATTTCTAGGAGAGAGAAAGAGAGACAGCGTAAGCAGGGGAGGGTCAGAGAGAGAGGGAGTCACAGGCTGAAACAGGCTCCAGGCTCTGAGCTGGCAGTCAGCACAGAGCCCGACGCGGGGCTCGAACCCACGAACCGCGAGATCATGACCTAAGCGAAAGTCGGACGCTTAACCGACTAAGCCACCCAGGCTCCCCTGTAGAGAATAACTTGTAAAGAGAAAGCTGACACAGAGAGGCGACAAAGACATCTGAGTTTTCATCTGGGAAATTAAAAGCAGACATTAAAAAAGGAACGAGTGTGGAGGAAGAGATTATTCATTATATCTTTAATGTCTCGACACACAGCTGCTTCTCAAGGGTTTTGGAACCAGTCTCAGAGAATATGGAACTGCACAAATAGTACAAGTTGAATAAGAAATGAAGGAATGAACTGATGTACTGGGTCTGGGGGAAGATCTGCTGAAAACATCTTGCATTTTGAGTATTTAATGCCATTGCCACAACACTTCCTGGCTCGTGGAGGTTGGTGCAGCTTGTCCTCTCGTCTGTAGGAAAATCCTGGAGTGAATTTTTACCAGTCACTTACTCAGCAGCAGAACCAGCACTCGATTCCTGACCAGTGGTTTGTTAGAAACCCATGAAAATACCCAGGACAGGGCCTGGCCCAGATGTCAGTGTGAAGAGGCAAGACAGGGAAGGAGAGTCACAAGATGGAAGGAACACGGAGAAAAGGGTAAGCAAGCAGAAAAAGGAAGAAGGGGACATTTTCAAGAATTGAGGAAAAGGAAGACAGAAGTGAGGAAGAACACTGTGAGGAAGAGAGACATTAGCCCGGTGTCCCCGGAGGCCACGTCCATGTCCATCAAAGGGAGCACCCAGTCACAAAGGACAGAAATCCACCTTGTTGGGCTGAAACCATACAGGAAATGAATGGGCTGATGGAACTGGGGATCCCAGGCTCACTGGAGCTCCAGTCCCTTCTGTGGGTCTGTGTCTGCCTTCTCTTTTCTGATGCTTTGGTTTTTTTGTTGCTGCTGTTTTCTGCATCACTGGAGTTTGATGACAAATGAAAATGGTAACTTTGTACAGTGTGCAGCTTTCCAGCCACCCAGGGAGGATGGTTGGGAGGCACCATGGGCCATATGCTCCCTCCCCAGATCTAACAGGTGCAGCAGAGACCGTGATGTGACACGAACAAAGGTCCTCCTGATGAACGTCTTCCAACAACTTCTCAGAGAGTACGTACGGCCTCAAGAACCTCAGGAGCCCAGTGCACACGGACATGCAGGGAGCTGGATATGATGCTCACATGATGGGTTGCAGAGCCCCCTATGTGGCATGCAGCATTTTTTTTAAGGAAATGAAGAATTTGTCAAGAAAACTTCAATTCAAGCAAACCATGAAAATTAATATTTTATGTAGCATTCATCACACACTTGAATACTTTTAATCTTTGGGCAATAAGCTCTGTTTTCTCTAAAAATCATACAATGAAGTATACCCTTGAGGTCTGATAAATGTTACCTGGTGACATGATGCCTACAATCACACGAGGTAACACAGCCACCACCTCACATCTGGAGCCTCTCCCCTCTCTTTATTTTCTTTTCTTCTCATTCTTGTCTTGAGAACACTTTGGATCTACCCTCTTGGAAAACATCATGTGTACAATTTCTCTCCCTTCTTGCATGTGGGTGTAACCCTCAGTCTTGATGCTCTGTTGCTACCTACTGCTGCTGCAAAATGGATTTTAGTCGTTTAGGCTTCATATCCCAACCTTATCACCCAGGACAAAGAGACCATCTCTTTCCCTGCCATTGACCACAAGAATCAGAATGCCTGTGATGTGAGCCCCCTGGAGCCAGTGTCCGGCCCTGATCCATCACTCTGGGCATGGGCAAGTGGCTCTATCTGATGATTGGCCTGAATTGGATGTAACATGTCATGCTTCATTCTGTCACATTGTAAAGGACGCTTTCTCCTGAGGGCCTCAGGGTGATCAGAGCCCTGGGCCACATGTGAGGGTGGAATTAACCACTAAAAACCACAAGGTGGCTATGAGATAGACCAGACCCTGGAGAAGCAGCCAATGAGTCTAGTCTAGGGGAGAAATTTGGGAAAGTTCCATGATTTGCTCTCTCCCTCCAATATTTTTCACCTTTGCCACTTCTCCCATCTCAACGTTATTTTCCAAAAATGTCCACATGTGGAGCCATGGAAACTTACACTTGTTCCCTCTGGAGGTTCACCTGCCCTGACCCTCTCCTCTCTGACCCTAAACAAATTAGAACTAAGTCCCTTTCCCCATTGAACACAAATAGCTTCCTGTACTAAGAAACTAGATAGAAACAGCAATGAAAACCTAAAAAAGAATCAGGAAAACAAAATTTTCATACCCCAAAGGCTATGATGATATTTTTCTTCTCACTATTTTACACTCCAAATGTCCCTGCTGCATGGTCAGGGCTTGAGTAAAGTTTGTTGAGTGAATTAATGAAATCTACAGTAACTGACATCTATCCCTGGATGTTTCCACTGCCTTTGGGTCATAAGTCACAAAGGTCCATGTTCATTTTTCACGGAGTCTGTGCAGATTGGTCTACCTACTGACATTGATTTGTGACCCCAGACACATGTGCTAATTGCTGTCCATGGACACATAGAGTGGCTGACATGTGTCACACACGCATTGCATTCCCTGGTGAGGCTGAACCAGATACCATTCTGCCTTCCTGTGTGACTTCCTACACTGTAAACACGTATTCTGTTCATGGTCCACTTGGTGCCACGTGTCCTGCATTTATATACTCTTTCTTGGTGGTCTTGTGTTTAACATGGCCCTGAAGCCTAGAGCTGCGGGGAGGTCTGGTGGTCCTAAGCACAAGAACGTGAGGTGTGCCTCACAGACAAAACTCCTGTTCAGGTAAGGATCTCTCAGGCTCACAAGACAGAGCTGTGGGCCATGAGGTCAGTGGTAATGAACCAATAATACAATAAGCCAGGAAAAAGAACAGAAAATTTGTGATGTCCATGTGGATACACTCTAAAAGTACTAAAGTCACATCTAGGATACTATGATGACACTAGAGAAAAGGGGAAAGGAAGCTATATTCGTGGATTCATGAAATGATGATCATTTCTAGTTTGTTTCTAAAGCATCATGGGCACCACAACTTTGGGCTAAACGCCAAAGACACTGGATGTCACAGTAACCAAGCCTGGAAATGTCACATACTTCTAAGCTAGTATTTTAGTATAGGGAAATAGAGCATACAATCAATTACTTGGAAATATATGTATATGACTAAGCCATATTTAAACACAAACACACATGAGACAAGGTTGTGTACCCATCAGTGGGCAAGTGTTGTGAGCCGAGGCTCCAAAGACCTGAACCCTGTATTTCCCCCCAGGAGCAACAGCTCACAGTGGCTGAACTGTGTCCTCAGCGACTGAAACACAGCAGCCACGAAAGTGAGGATGCCCTGTACGCCCTCTCCTTGCTGGGCCCCCATTCAGTCCTGAGCACAACACTCTACTTCTCTTTTCGGGACCCACTCATTTCCCTCCAGGGACACACTTGCGCTGCTACCTCTCAGGCACCAAATTTTATGCACCTGTGAACCCCCTGCTGCTTTTGCTAAAATGCAAATTGTGATTCCGTGAACCTCAGCTGAGGCCAAGACCCTATATTTCCAACAAGCCCCAGGATGACATGTCTGCTGCTGTCCTGAGGGCCCCAAACAGCCAGGGCCTGCGTCCTCCCTTCCTCCTTGTGTTCACAGTACATGGAGCCACAGGTCCGCTCCAGCAGGGTCTGTATTTAAATAATAGGACTGTTCACAGGCAAAACTATGTTCTCCCCAAGGGATCAGAGATGTGACCAAGTGACCATGCCAGGGCCCAGGGTCCAGTCTCCAGGCAAAGTGAGAGAAGACTTGTAACAGGAAGAGCATGAAAGATCTCAACTACTACAAACACGACAGGGAGCAAAAGAAAAAGAAGAAAAACTATGATATTGACATAAACGCAACACAAATTTTTATTGAGAACATATTCCATTCAACTGAGATTCCTTGCCAAGGATACAAATATTAAAAAGACATGGACTTCACTCTCAAGAGGCCTAAGAATTAGAAGGGAAAAGGGACCTAACTGGGGACAATAAGGGTTGGGAAGTGAGTCATACATTTTCCAAAGACAAACTGTGGGCACTGGAAATTCTCAGCAGGCAGAGACTGCTTCCAGCTGTAAATAAGGGAGGGCTCCCTGGAGCAAGTGACATCTGATGCCTGTGACCCAGTGAGGTACTCAGATTTCATTTTACTTTGAGAAAATGTAGAGATTTAAGTCTAAGAATCAGGTTAGATCAACAAGGCCCACCAAATTATACTCAGCTTATATTGACAGCTGATCGTGGAGCAGAAAGGAAAGACAAAAGTTGCACACAGAGACTTGCAAGTCCATCACCAATGAACTGGGTTTAAGTATGTGCTGGAGCCTGGGCTGCTGGGATCTCTCTCCACAGGGAGGCCAGGGTGCTGAGGTCTCCAGTGTGATTTCCTGGGAGGAACAGATTGTAAATGTTCTGGAGTAGACGGAGGTGAGGACTGCGGGGGGACGAGCACTGGGAGGAGGAAGGCTGAGGAACAGAAGGAACGTGGGAAGACACTTGGGAAAGAGCAGGAAGGTGGCTCCAGAGACTTACCAGCACTTCCGGACCCAGAAGGCAAGACCAGCCAGAAGCACCAAGGGCACCATCACCGCCAGGAAGGCCCAGCCCACGGGGCGGTGCTGCTCTGTGGGTTTGGTGCACAGAGGGTGTCACTTCCCAACCACCCCGGGTTGGCCTGCACCTTCCTGGCCCTCTTTGTTCCTGTCGCCCTCTGCCTCACCAGCCACCCTTCCTCTTTCTTCTCTCCCATCTCTGCTCAGACATGGACCCTTCACCAAACCCTCTGCTTCCTCCCACATCCGTAAGATCCTCACACTATACTCTCCATTTCGTGGGTTCCTAAATTTTTGTCCTTTATGGTAGGAGTCCCTAGAATCCCAATTTTTCACCTCGCTCTCCTGCTCTGCTGCAGGGCCTCCCACCCACTGACCCAGCAGGGCCCCCGCACTTTCTCACCCCAGTAGAGGACCAAGTCCTGGCCTCCTAGACTGCTGTGTCTCACTCGGCAAGACAGGCCGGCCACTTCCTTGGCTTCCACATCCAAGGAGACCTGAAGATACCAGGTCCCGTCGGCCTGAGGCAGGATGTCACCTTGCTGGGTGCCCGGCTGCTCCTGCTCACCCCGCATCCACATCACCCACACTGGCTTTGGGTAGAAGCAGGAGACATGACACACCAGCAGCAGACGGCCAGGGCCGGGACTGGGGCCGCTGGACAGCCAGGCCTCTGGCCTCACTGCAGAGACAGGACAGGTATTCTCAGACTGAGAAGGAAGATCTTCACATCAGTTGAGATACACACATCTCTCTATCTTAGAAACCTGTCACCATCATCCCCCTCCCTCTTGGATTCCCCTCACTCTGAATTTGAGAAATGGTCCAAATTTATGGTGCAGGGAGAGAATGCTTGGAGATTGAGAGAAGGACTGACCTTGTCGATGCAGATATGCCTTCCCTGCATCAAGAAGACCCAAGAGGAAATGGGGGCAGATGTCACTTAAAATTCTGTGTATAGCTTCTTTAACCACATAGAATTGATTGAATAGTGAGCAGACTTGCTGAGCCCTCCTTCCTTCCTTTGGAGATGGAAACCATGACATGTCCTGGAAGCTCATGAGACCTGATCCTTGATATGCAATCTCTAAAAATCTTGCTGATACTATTCCAAATTGCAGCTCACAGCCTCCTGCCAGCTGTACCTGAAAGGGATCTGAGAAGAGAGATTGTGAGATACAGGAAAGGAAGAGGGAAAGTGATGAAATGAGGTGAGTGGAAGCCATGCATGGAGGAAGGAGAAGGAGAAGTTGAAGGCATTGGAAGGAATCAAGCAAAGTTTGGTTTGAGTGGGAGGAAGTGGCGGTTGCTGGGAGCAGAGGGGAGGTGAATGACTGTGGAAGGAACGCATGTTGGAGGAATGACCGGAAGGGTGGGGGAAGGGGGCAGGGAAGGTCTCCACTGGAGAGCTGGGTTAAAATCATCTAGGGTGAGGGCAAAGCAGTGGGTACAGGGAACACACAGAGAGGTCATTGAGGGGATTGAACAGGGAGATAAGCACATTTCAAGGATCAGTCACCGAATGAGGGAGAGAAAGGTGCCCAGCTGGAGGCCAGGGATCAGAGTGGTCAGAGCACAGCCTGAGGTCAGTGAGAAGAGGGAAGTAGCAGAAGATGTAAAACTTTTCAATAATCAGAGTCTGGCCACTGCCCCCTGAACAGACGGGTGTGATTCAGTTTTACAATCGGGAGATATGAGGTTCAGAAGCCAGCGGAGGCTCTTTCCAGGAGGAAGAAGGAACTGAAGGAGACATACGCACCAACTACCTCCGTCCCACCTGCCCTGAGGAACCCGAACTCACATTCAAGCTGCCATTGACTGACGTGGTCCTGAAACACTTGAAGAAAGTCAATGGAGTTTGAATAGAAGAACATTTCCAGTTCCATTAAGGCCTCGTTGCTGAAGTTGCCCCTGGACCAAGGCTGCAGGTAAATGAAAGCACCAGTCTTGCTGTCCCAGCCATGAGTCTGCAGCTCACCCAGCCAAGCTGAGCCCTGATTCTGTGTCCAGGAACGGTTGTAAAAGGATGAGGTCAGGATGACTTGGAAGGATTTCGGCTCCTGGAAGTCTGTGCCAAAAGAACAGATAGACTGAGGAAGAGGAGGGCATTGGGAAGGAGAGAGAATCAGCAAAAGATGCCAGGGAGGGGCACCGAAATCTCGAGGGCAGAGCGCCATAGTGCTCTCAGGAGGCACGTGCTGCGCCAGAGCCCCGAGCTTCGTACCCATCATTCAGAAGACACAGGGCCCAGGGGCAGGGATGCTCAGGAACAAACCAGGCTGACATCTGTCCCTCCCCATGTTTGTGTTGGTGAGCCCACATGCAGAGACACAAATGCACACATGTACACACACACTCAGAGTTACACACATAGGCATGCACATAAACATATATGTAAACACAGACATACAGACACATACAAGCAGATACATACAGAGAAAAACACAAGCACCTATACACACATACTCATACACACATGCACACATGTACACAACAATATACATGCACACATGATACACATCACACACATGTAGACACACACACTCGTGCACCCACCGGGCAGGGCCACAGTCCTCACCATCGTCACTGTCACCATCTGGGACAAGAACCGTGAGCAACACCAGTTGCAACAATAGCATCTTATTTGCAGATGTTCTTTCTTTCTCTCAGAAAGTGGGTCTTTGGCGTCTGTTCTAACAAACCTCCCCACACACGGCTCCTCTCTTCTGACTTCCTTCTCAGCACACAAGCTTCCCTGAGTCTCTGCAGCAATGCAAATGGGCTCCGCCCTCAACCTTGGACACCTACTCAGACTCTCACTTCCCCTCTGGGTCTGACCCTCTTCTCAGTCCCCCAGCTTCTCCCAGTCACCTACCTCCATCCTGCTCCCCAGGCCCTAACTCGTGTTCTGGGGAACAAGGCTTGTGTGTCATGAAAAAGTGACCCTACCTCCCGTGCCTTTTCTCCTCATCCAGACAATAGCCCATGAAAACCCTGGACCCTGCTGTCACACTGTCCCTTATGCCCTTGGATCACTCCCCATGGACTTTCTTCCTTGTTTCCCCCCAACCCCAGCCTATTCACATTTCTGACTCCCCACTATTTGCATTAAAATTCAAAATCAACCAGATCAATTTGAAGGTCACCTTCTTTTTTTTTTAAAATACATAGTTTATTGTCAAGTTGGTTTCCAACAACACCCAGTGCTCATCCCCACAAGTGACTTCCTCGATGCACATCACCCCTCCCATTGCCCCACAACCATCAGTCCTCAGTTTGTTCTCAGCATTCAAGAGTCTCTCATGGTTTGTCTCCCTCCCTCTCCCCAGCTATTCTTTTAATTGAGGAAAGGGGTCTAAACATGCAGATGACTCCCCTCTTGGGGAATGGAGAGGGCCCATGTGACATGGACCTCAATTGTGATAAACAGAGAATTCTTCACTGATAGATAATGACTTACATATCTGGGAGAGATCAGACTGCACTTAGGTTAGGTTTGGAGAGTTGACCTGACTTTCTACTTCCATGGAGTTCTTAACTGATTAAAGTCTCTTTAAGTATTTGTGCTTTATATCATCTGGATAATGTGTTTGGGCTATCTGTCTTGTTATTTCTTGGATGACCAGTAAACTGAAATAACCTCAGGCTGTTGAGAGAAAGATAGTATTTTTGGAAAGTTCAGACTGAAACATAGAACATTAGAAAGAGATCACTCCCACACTTAAGATTTGACAAGTTGGATGATCAAAATCACTTCTTGGAATCCACCAGAGCTGAAGGATCAGAGCAATATGTTAATCCAAAATCTAGAGAAATACTCTAGACTCCTCCAAGGAAATAAGGGATTCAAACCCTCACTTACTTGAGACAGATCCCCGACACTTTATAAGCCAGAAAGTATAATTCAGCTACAATTGTTAAAAAATGAATGAAGGAGGGACCCCTGGGTGGCTCAGTCGGTTAAGTGTCCGACTTCAGCTCAGGTCATGATCTTACAGTTCATGGATTCAAGTCCCACATCGGGCTCTGTACTGACAGTTTGCTCAGAGCCTGAAGCCTGTTTCAGATTCTGTGTCTCTCTCTCTCTCACCCTCCCCTGCTCATGTTGTCTCTCTCTCAGAAATATATATATAGGGGCGCCTGGGAGGCTTAGTCGGTTAAGCGTCCGACTTTCGCTTAGGTCATGATCTCGCGGTTGGTGGGTTCGGGCCCCGCGTTGGGCTCTGTGCTGACTGCCAGCTCAGAGCCTGGAGCCTGTTTCGGTCTGTGACTCCCTCTCTCTCTGACCCTCCCCTGCTCACGCTGTCTCTCTCTCTCTCTCTAGAAATAAATAAAACATTTAAAAAAAAAAAAAAAGTGGTCCAGTTTCTTTCTTTTACATGTTCCTGCCCAGTTTCCCAATCACTATTCTTAAAGAGACTTTCTATTTCCCATCGAATATTCTAGCCTCCTTTGTCAAAGATTAACTGAGCATAAAATCGTGGTTTTATTCCTGGGCTCTTTGCTCTCTCCCATTGTTCTGTGTCTACTTTTGTGCCTGTGCCATATGTTTTGATTACTACAGCTTTGTAGTGTAACTTGAAATTTGGAATAGTGATAACTCCAGCTTTGTTTCTCTTTTTCAAGATTGTTTTGGCCCTTCAGAATCCTTTGTGGTTCCATAAAATTTATGAATGTTTGCTCTAGTTCTGCGAATAAAAAGGCTGTTGGGGGGCACCTGGGTGGCTTAGTCGGTTAAGCGTCCGACTTTCGCTTAGGTCATGATCTCGCGGTTCATGGGTTCGAGCCCCGCGTCAGGCTCTGTGCTGACAGCTCAGAGCCTGGAACCTGTTTCAGTCTGTGACTCCCTCTCTCTCTGACCCTCCTCTGCTCACGCTGTCTCTCTCTCTCTCTCTCCTAGAAATAAATAAAACATTTAAAAAAAAAAAAAGGCTGTTGGTATTTTGATGGGCATTGCATTAAATCTGTAGATTGCTTTGGATAGTATAGTATGCACATGTTAACAATATTGGTTCTTCCAGCTCATCAGCATGTAATGTCTTTCCATTTCTTTTTGTCACCTTCCACAATTGTAATCAATGTTTTATAGTTTTCAGAATACAAGTCTTTCCCTTTGGTTAAGTGTGTTCCTGGGTATGTTATTATTTTTAGTGCTTTCTGACTTTTGGGGAAATGCTTTCAATTTTTCACTATTGAGAATGATGATAGCTGTGTTTTTAAAAAATATATATGAACTTTATTATATTGATTTATGTTTCTAAATCTATTTTGTTAGGGTATTTTATCATCAATGAATGTTGTACTATGTCAGATTATTTTTTTACATCTATTGAAATGATCATAGTTTTAATCCTTTCTCTCATTGATGTAATATATGTCACATTGATTGATTTGCAAATATTGAACGACACTTGATTCTCAGGAATAAATTCCACTTTGTCATGATGAATGATTTTTTTTAAATCATCCAGCCTGCTGATGTTTGTTGAGAATTTTTGCATCTTTGTTCATCAGAAGCATTGGCCTGCTGTCCTGTCTTTTTGTAGTGTCTTTGTGTGCTTGTGGTATCAGGGTAACACTGGCCTCCTAGAATGAATTTGGAAGCTTTCCTTTCCTCTCCTATTTTGTGGGATTGTTTGAGAAGAATAGGTATTATTTATTCTTTAAATTTTTGGTAGAATTCTCCTGTGAAGATTTCTGGCCCTGAACTTTTTTTGTCAGGAATTTTGTCCGTACTGATCAGTTTCACTGTGGGCAATTGGTCTGTTCAAATTTTCTATTTCTTCCCACTTTGTTTTTGGGAAGTTATGCATTTCTAGGAATCTATCCATTTCTTGTACTTAAATCTCTTTGTCTCAATGTCATTCACAGCCAGTGTTTCATTGTTGATTTTCTGCTTGGATATTCTGTCTATCAGTGTAAGTGTGTTCTTAAAATCCCCTACTATTGTGTTACTATCAGTTTCTTCCTTTATTTTTCTTATTAGCTGCTTTATATATTTGGGTCCTTCCTTGTAGGGTGCATAAATATTTACAATTATTATATCTTCTTGTTAGATTGTTCCATTTATTTTTATATAGTGTCTTTCTTCTCTTTGGTACAGTCTTTCTTTTAAAGTCTATTTTGGCTGATACAAGTATTGCCACCCTAGCTTTCATTTCACATCCATTTGCTTCATATATGCCTCTTCACCACTTCACTTCGAATTTTCATGTGTCTTTATGTCTGAAATGAGTCTCTTATAGGCAGCATAGAGATAAGACTTGCTTTTCTTATCCATGTCATCACAGTATGTCTTTTGATTAGAGCATTTGTTACACTTGCATTCAATGCATTGGCTGATAGGTATGACTTATTGCCATTTTTTTACTTGTTATATGGTTGTTTTGGTATTCTCTGTTCCTTTCTCCTCTTTCTCTTTTCTCTCATGGTTAGTTAGGTTTCCTTCATGATATAGTTAGATTCTTTTCCCTTTATTGTTTGCATACCTACTATTAATTTTTTAACAGCTACATTGAGGTGAAACTAATATATAGAAAACTATACAAATTGAACATGTACAATTTGATGACTTCAGACATAGGAAACATTTATGATATCACTACAACCAAGATAATAAACAATTCCAAAAGGCTGATGAATTTCCTTATGTCCCTTTATTTTGTTTCATATGTATTGTGGTAAAAGGACTTAACAGAAATCTACTCTCTTAACAAATCTTGTAGCACACAATATGGTTTTATTACCTATAGGCACTATGTTTTACAGGACATCTCTAGAACTTATTCAACTAACATAACTGAAACTTTCTATCTTTTGAATAACAACTTCCCAATTACCCACAATCAAACCTCTGGCAACTGCTACTCTCTGCTTCTATGAGTTCCATTATTTGAGATAACTCATATTATTTAAATCACACAGTGTTTGTCTCTCTGGGACTAGCTTGTTTCACTTAGCATAATATCTTCAGGTTTCAGCCATGTTATCATAAAGACCATAGTTCTTTTTTTGAGGCTAAATAATATCCCATTGTATGTATATATCACATTTTCTTTATTCATCCATCTGTAGACAGACACTTGACAAAAAGGAATTAAAGGAAAATTCCAAGAAGAGGAAAGAGCAAGGAAAAGGAGGAGCAAGAGAAGGAACTACAGCAGGTAGAAGGAACAAAATGGGATCATCAAGACCCTGGCATGAGCAGACATCATTCACTTTGTTATTACAGGTTCTGTATATACACTGAACATGAACTTATTGGTCACATAACTTTGAATTCATTCTTTATTTTTCTCCCCTGCCTCCCTTTTAGGTATATGAAGTCATACTTAATATGCATTTATTTTTTGAGTACCTTGACTGTTTTTTATGATATACTTATTTTTGCTGCTTTTGTGCTTCTTTTCCTTTTGGTCTTTCCTTTCCCTTCCACTAAAACCTTCTTTAACATTTCTTGTAGGGTTGGTTTAGTGGTCATTAATTCCTTAAATTTTTGTTTGCCTGGGAAACTCTTTATCTCTCCTTCTATTCCGAATGGTAGTGTTGCTGAGTACAGGAATCTTGGCTACTGATTTTTGTCCTTTCAGAACTCAAGTATGTCTTGTCACTCTCTTCTGGTCTGCACAGTTTCTGCTGAAAAATCAACTGATAGCCTTATGGCCTTCCCCTGTGCATAAGTATCCTCTTTTCTCTCGCTACTTTTAAAAGTCACCTTTACGGGGCGTCTGGGTGGCTCAGTCAG